TCCAAGAAATTACTACTTTTACCTCAAACAATAGTAAATCAAGAGTCTGAGTCTAGAAAAGACTGAAAAGGTCAATACAGGTAATTAAGAGGTTGATACAGAAAAAGCACATTGTCAGTACACAACAACACAAAGAACCCTGATCAGTTTCCATTCAGGATAACAGAAAGGATTTCCTTAGAAAAGAATCAGACACAGGTATTTACCTCCTCAATATTGTTTGGAAGGTTATTTCGTATAACCTGATGGCTGTAGTTAACACAGTTAATCATTTGTCAACATCCTACTATAGATAAGTCTTTATTTTTCATTTTTTAGATCATATCACAGACCTTTTGGCATTTGCCAGAGGCAGGCTGAGGAAAAAAAAAAATCAACATTTCTCAGTTTTGTGTATTGGCTTTATAAAATGCCTTGTTTTCTGATTATTTCATGGCATACCTTACCTAAAAGACCTTACCAGTATGAGACTCAATACAAAATGAGCACTCACTTTTTACTTCTGATTTCTATAAAGCTGAACTATTTCAACTAAAATTTTATAATTGGCATTTATTTGTTAAATTAATATTTTTTCATTTTAAAACTGCACATACCATAGGTTTAACATGTCACATATAAAGTCATCTTAATTTTGCTAACACCACTGCTATTAGGCAACCTCTTCAGGAATACCCTTCTTCTTGATATGAAAGGGTTCACATTTTAAAGGTTGTAGCACAACCACAGACAAAAGATATAAAAGTGGTAGTACTATCAAAACACTGGTAGGATTTTAAAGCTTTGTTTTCCCCTTGGAATTCTCCTATCTCTCTGCAAGCTTAAATTTCAAGTTATAAAATGGGGTTTTTTAAATAAATTTTTATTAGGATATATTCATGATACAGAGGGGGATTTCATAGTGACAATTCCAATTAGACTTATATTATACATTGGTTACATTGCCCCCATCATCTATCCCTCAGGCCCCTCTCCACCCCACTTAAAGCAATTGCAAGAGGTTTTCTAGTTCTATTTCGTATAGGTACATGAAGTCCATCTACCATATACCATCACCTTAATCTCCTTAGTTCACCCTTTCCCATCCCAATAGTCCCCCCACACACACACTGTACCTATTTTACAGTCCTGGTTTTCATAATTAATATTTGAGTTGACATTCAGAGGAGTGTCTCAATGTATGCTGTCTACAGGTGTGCTTTACTTTGGTCTGTTCAATCCCTTAGAAAACTCTCCCTTATCCCTTTACCTCCCAACCCCACCTCCCCCCTCTGTTTTTCAACATCTTTCAATACACATCCTTATATCCTCTACCTTCACATCTTATGTTATATGATATTACTGTTGCTTTATCATTCTATTTTCCCTTCCCTCTTTCCCTGAGTTCCATAGAGTAGTTATACTGCTACAAACATATTCTACAACTGAGTTTGTATATGATCATGTTTGGTTTTGTGTATATATTTATCTTTGGATCTATCTTCCACATATGAGAGAAACTATGCATCTTCTGTGTTTCTGATCCTGGCTAACTTCACTTAACATGATGTCCTCCAATTGCATTCATTTACCTTCAAACCCCATGCCATTATTCCTTGTGGCTGAGTAATACCCCACTGTACATACCATATACATTATATACATATATAATGTATATTATGTATTATATACAATGTATATTATATATTATAATGTACTATATATATATTATATATAATGTACATTATATATACCATAATTTCATGATCAATTTATCAGTTGTAGGGCATCAGAGCTTAGCTATTATGATTAGTGCTGCAATGTACATCAGTGTACAGGTGTCTCTACTGTATCCTGTCTTACATTCTTTTTGGTAGATGCCCAGGAGTGGTATCACTGGATCATATGGCAGTTCTATCAGTTTTTTGAAGAATCGCCATACTGATAAAACAGGATTTACGACAATAGAAACTATTCTGACATAATTTTTCTGGTCTATCATGATTGCCCTACTTTCTTATCATCATCACATATTATAATGAAAATAATTTATTTAAGCATATACATATCAATTACAACCTGGCAAATTTTTTATTATAAATGCCATAAATTGAGAACAGGAGATGGAAAAAGTGCATATTGTGTTAATTACCCATTTTTTAATCAACATTAATCTTTAATAGCTCTTCAAATATTTAGCTATAAAAATATATATGTACTAAGAGAAAATTAACAATTAACTGAGAATTAAATGTTAATTTAAATAAGGCAATATGCTATATATTATTTTACTGCCTAATCTGACTTATTAAGAGTCAGTTTTTAATTTCCTTATTTAGTAATTAAGTACAATTTATAAAACAGCATTTTCACAGATATACAAAATGCTATGTATATGTGTAATAAGAGTATCACATTGTCAGTTCTCATAAACTTTTCCAATAAAGTACACCTATAATATTTCAAGAAAAAGCACAATGATTCTGAAGTACAGGATAAATATGGTCCACATGCATTATTATATATATGTATGAAAATAACATAATGAAATATAGTATAAACAGTAAAAAACCGGGGAGGAAAGAAGGCAAAAGAGCAAGCATAAGAAAGAGTCATAGAGGGGATGAATTTGATCAATGTAATTATATGCATGTATGGAAATACCACAATGAAACACCTTTGTACAATTAATATATGGTAATTAAAGATGAGAAAGCAAAAAAAAAAAAAAAAAAAGAATTTCTTCTGCAAAATATTGCATTCTGAGAAAATCAACCTGTACATTCATATTTGTATTTTACCATGTGTATTCATAATTTTTTTTTAAATTTTATTATTCATATGTGCATACAAGGCTTGGGTCATTTCTCCCCCCTGCCCCCACCCCCTCCCTTACCACCCACTCCGCCCTCTCCCTCTCCCCCCAACACCCTCAATACCCAGCAGAAACTATTTTGCCCTTATTTCTAATTTTGTTGTAGAGAGAGTATAAGCAATAATAGGAAGGAACAAGGGTTTTTGCTGGTTGAGATAAGGATAGCTATACAGGGCACTGACTCACATTGATTTCCTGTGCGTGTGTGTTACCTTCTAGGTTAATTCTTTTTGATCTAACCTTTTCTCTAGTTCCTGGTCCCCTTTTCCTATTGGCCTCAGTTGCTTTAAGGTATCTGCTTTAGTTTCTCTGCGTTAAGGGCAACAAATGCTAGCTAGTTTTTTAGGTGTCTTACCTATCCTCACCCCTCCCTTGTGTGCTCTCGCTTTTATCATGTGCTCAAAGTCCAATCCCATTGTTGTGTTTGCCCTTGATCTAATGTCCACATATGAGGGAGAACATACGATTTTTGGTCTTTTGGGCCAGGCTAACCTCACTCAGAATGATGTTCTCCAATTCCATCCATTTACCAGCGAATGATAACATTTCGTTCTTCTTCATGACTGCATAAAAAAATATGGAACGCTTCACAAATTTGCATGTCACCCTTGCGCAGGGGCCATGCTAATCTTCTCTGTATCGTTCCAATTTTAGTATATGTGCTGCTGAAGCAAGCACCACCATGTGTATTCAAACAATATTTGATACAGTATGAAAAAGAATCTAGCCCCCTCAGAAAAGTTATCTGAATAACTTTCAAAAATGCAATTTTAATAACAAAGCATACTTATCAAATATGAATACTCTGAATTGACCTATAATCCAAAGGTTTCATTAGGTTTCATAATTTTCTTTTAGAAAGTAACAGGTAGGAGTGGTATTATACAAGTATATATACATTGATCAAAATTCACTGACTTGTATAATTAAAATCTGTGCACGGTACTGTATATAAATTTTAGCTCAATAAAAATAAAACTTTAGCCCAGATATAGTAGCACATGCCAATTGGGAGGCAAAGGCAAGAGGATTGTGAGTTCAAGGCCAGTCTAGGTTGCACAGCAAAACCCTATCTCAAACAAACAAAAACAAAAACTTGAAAAGATACCTTTAATTAAAAATTCAAAAAAATTAAAATTTAATATTTACTTTACATAGGTCTAGCTGAGGAAAAACCAATCTCCAAAAAATATGCTTATATTTATTGTGTTCTTTACAATTGTTACTGAACATTTTAGAATTCTGTTCTAGTCCCCACATACTAAACTTAAGATTAAAAAAAATTAAAATCTTTGAAAAACTCTTCTGCAACCCATCAATGAATTCAGACAACTCATTGTTCCCTAAGTATGTCCTAGCTTCATCCTCTTGGAATTTAAATTTATCCTAGGTACAATTTTGTAACTAGTGCCTGTTTAGTCATTAACTCGTAACATTCTAGTACAGAAAAATTAAGTAACCATTTTGTTGTTCAAGGTTACTTTCTCAGTTCAATTGTGCTACTATAATAAAACACCATAAACTGGATAATTTAAACAGAAATTTATTTTTTCAAGTTCTGGAGGCTGGGAAGTCCAAGATCAAGGTGTTAACATCTGGTGAGGGCCTTCTTAATGCATTTTCACACATGGTGTACAGCAGAAGGGGCAAAAGGATTGAACTCTCAGTCAAGCCCTTTTAAGAACAACTAATTCCATTCATAAAAGAGGAGACCTCAAGGCCTAATCACTTCTGAAAGATGTCACTTTTTAAAGGCCCCACCTCCTGATACTATCACATTGGCAACACCTAAAATTTGGATGGGACACATTCAAACCCTAGTAACTACCAAGTCCAAGATCAAAACTCAGGCATCTAGCTCCCACTTTAAGAACTGCAGTTAAGAGTGGGTGGTAAGGGAGGGGGTGGGTGCAGGGGGGATCAATGACCCAAGCCTTGTATGCACATATGAACAATAAAAGAAAAAAAAAAAAAAAGAAGAACTGCAGTTAAAAGATTTCAGGAGATGATCAATCCATTTTCAGTAGATCAGCTAATCAGAAAAAAAAAAAAAAGTAATATTTTAAAATATTCTATACTAGGACCAGAGAAGCTTACTAAAAGCTGAATTCAACTGTTGGGTAAGAAATTTAGAAAATACACTAACCTTAGAAGACTTCCTTCGGCTTCTTCTTGTCCATACTACCACCAGTTTATCTGGCTGCCTGCCAAACAGGAAAAAGAAATTAAACATAATTTATGTTAAATGAAATTAGTAAAGTTAGTTTTAGTACTTTTAAAAGGGCAAAAGTGCCATCTGCGTTACATTACATAGAGTAATTGCCGTTAAAAGAAAGCTCTACATCCAAATACAGTAGATGTCGATACAGATGAGATCTAATTTAAACAACTAATATTTCTTTCATATGCTTTTCTAAAAATACTTTAGCAAGCTAATTCATTGGGACAACCAAGCAAAACTACAGTATTTAGAAATGGTTACTACTTTAAAAACAAAAGCACACACATATCTTCTCCAAAACCTAACACCATACTTTTCAAATATGATCCCCTTTAATTTAGAGAAAAATAAACATTACAAGGGCACTTCCAAAATAATTTAAATGTGTTACGTTATTTTTGCTTCTCCATTTTATAAACAATCCTTGTGGTTTTCAAAACACCTTAAGAATCAATCATCTCAATTAACTTCATAAAAATACACTTGAAAAATAAGCAAAGTACACACTATTATTTGTATTTTATAAGCATAAAAAATTGGTAAAATTAAACTAATCACAATCTCTAGCAGAACTCAGACAGAATTCAGGTCTTCTAAACTCTTAGACCTCTCTCTTCTTTATCGTTTGCTAATATAAAGTCAAATAAATATAACACATTCTCAGCTAATACAATGAAGTTCTCTTTTCTGTTTACAGAAAACATCAAGACTGCAACTGTCAACTATTTTGCTTACATTTTCGTTTTTTTAAAAACCTAATTAAGAAGTTTGTTGCCTAGCATATACAAGGCTCTAAGTTACATCCCAGCACTTCCTGCCCACCCAAAACAAACCTTCTTAACCAAGAAACTCATATTGTATTCATCCTGGCCACTCTCTATATCCCTTTTTATCATGCCCTGGAATCCCTCACTTTCAGCAGATGATCTTTCCTGTTTTGTTTAATTAAATATATATACACATACATTCATAAAAGGCCACCAGCCACAAACTCCTCACTCAGTGATCCACTGACAAATCTGTACTATAATCCAAAGAGAAAACTGTCTGATGAAAAATACTACTGAGCAACTGATCCAGAATGTTGCACAGAAATAAAGAGATAAAAATATTTTAAAAGGTAAAGACACAGAAGCTACATTGAGAGGTACACCTAATAAAAATTCCAGAAACTTAGAACAGCAGGAATGGCAGACGCAATACTGAAGAGAAGGCTAAGAATGTTCCAGACTTAGAAGACATTTATTAAGAAATAAACAGAATAAATAAAAATAAATCTGTATCTACTTATATTCCAATTTGAATATAAGAAAAACAGCAAGAATAAAGAAAAAAAATCCTAACAGGTTACTGACAGAGGAATAATTAAACTGACAGCTGACTTATTATCAACAACAGTCTCAAAGACAATGAAGCTAACAATCTTCAAGTGGTATGGGAAAATAGTTGCCACCCTAACATTTAATATCTGGCTAAACTACCATTTAAGACATTTATGGTATATGTACAAAGACTAAGAGTTTACAATGTAAAACAGGAAGAAGTAGGATGAAAAAAGCAATATAAATAAGGCAAAATGTTAATGTATGGTCATTTTAGGGGTTGAACCCACCAAGATATACAAAAAATAAGAGGAAGGTATCAATAACTAATCTATAATGTTTATGATAATAATAAGATGATATAATGTAATAGAAAAATGGTGTTTCTCCATTTAAGACTAAACCTAGTACCCATCAAGTGTCAGGCTTTAAAAATACAATTGTAAAATAAAAACAGTGGCTTGCTTTGGTAGGTCTTCCTACAGTGAGATGTTAAGAGCAGTGAACAGAAGTGCTAAATTTACAAGTGAAAGAGATAGCAATTTCTATGACATCAGTGTTAATCTATAAACCTGTACCAATGGAGTAGCAAAGAAAAACCTGAAAATGAAAAATAAAAATAAAAAAATTTCTTCAGCACACAAAAAAGAATAAGACAGTGACAGTGAAAATGGAGTGCAATATGGCAACAAGATGGATGGGGCTCGAAGAGGATACCATTAATGATGGCAGCTTAACATTAGAGAAAATCAGTAGCCAATGAGTGTAATTTACCATGTTTGAAAGCACTGATGGTGTGCTGGAAAGCTCTATTTCAAATACTACTCTCACCCCTTCACTAATGCACTCAGCTCCAACCTTAACTCTTAAATTCTATTTCCACAGAAGACCCACCAACCCAGCTTATTTGTGACAAGAGCAATATTGCTTGCCACTAACTGACTGCAACTCTGCAGGGTAAGCAGAGGCTGGCAAGCCTTCCTTTGGTCCTGCAGGGTAAGTTCCTAAGTTCCCCACCTGGGGTAAAGGGCAAAAACAGCAGCCAGCAAACCTAGCAGGCATGCGAACAGGCTACATCCTTAGGACACCACCCAGTATATTTGGGTGACAAGAGTTACTCATGAGCCATTCTGCAAAACAATAAACATAATTCAGCACATAAATAGAACCAAGGACAAAAATTACATGATCATCTCAATAGATGCCGAAAAAAACTTTGACAAAAATTCATTATCTTTTCTGAATGGAAGGAACTTACCTCAACATAATAAGGGCAATATACAACAAACCTATAGCAAACATCTTACTAAACAGGGAAAAACTGAAATCATTTCCTCTAAAGTCAGGAACAAGACAATGGTTTCCATTCTCTCCATTCTTATTCAATTCAGTCTTGAATTCTTAGCCAAAGAAATAAGACAAGAGAAAGAAATAAAACAGATACCAACAGGAAAGAAGTCAAATTATCCATATTTGTAGATATGATCCTGTATTTAAAAATTCTAAAGACTTACCAAAAAAACCTCTTAGATCTGATTTAAAAAAAAACTTTCAGAGAAGTAGCAGAATATAAAAATCAACATAAAAAAACAGTAGCTTTTCTAGATGCCAAAAACAAAGAGGCTGAGAAAGAAATCAGGAAAACAATGCCATTCAAAACTCTCTAGTAATAAATCTAAGTAGGTGAAAGACCTGAACAATAAAAACTCTAAAATACTGAAGAAAGAAAATGAAGAAGACACTGGAAGATGGAAAGATCTCCCATGTTCACAGAATGGCAGAATCAATATTGTGAAAATGGGTATACTGCCTAAAGCAATCTACAGATTCAATGCAATCAATGCCCATAAAAATTGCAATGACTTTCTTCACAGAGAAAGAAAAAAACACTACTAAAATTCATTTGGAAACACAAAAGACCCTGAATAGCCAAAGCAATTCTGAGCAAAAACAGCAGCACTGGAGATACCATAATACATAACTTCAAAATATACTACAGAGCCATAGTAACAAAAATGATGGTACTGGCATAAAACAGACGTGTAGACCAATGAAATAAAAGACCCAGAAATAAACCCACACAGCTGCAATCATCTGCTTTTTGACAAAGGAGCCAAAAACATATGCTGTAGAAAAGAACACCTCTTCAACAAATGGTGTTGGAAAAACTGATTATTCATACATAAAGGCTGAACATACACCCTTATCTCTCAGTCTGTATAAAAATCAATTCAAAATGGATTAAAAATGTTAATGTAAGACCCAAAGATTTGAAACTACTACAGGAAAACACATGAAGATATAGATATAGGCAATGACTCTCTGAATAGGATTCAAATTGCTCAGAAAATAAAGAGTAAGAACTGACACATGGAACTACATAAAATTAAAAAGCTTCTGAGTCAGTACAGTAGTTTAAGTTTGTAATCTAAGCTACTCAGAAGTTGAATATCAGGAAGATCACAGTTTGAGCCAGTGCAGGCAAAAAGTTTACGAAACCCAATCTCAACTAATGGCTAGGTGGGGTAGTACACCCATTATCCCAGCTATATGGAGAAGCACAAATAGGAAGAGATCACAGTCTAGGACCCTGTCTCAAAAATAACCAATGCAAAAATGACTGATGGCATAGCTCAAGTGGTAGTGTACCTGCCAAGAAAGCACAGGGTCCTAAGTTCAAACCCCAGTACTGCTGGGTACCAATGGCTCATGCCTTTAATCCTAGTTATTTGGGAAGCTGAAATCAGGAGGATTGTGGTTCAAGGTCAACCAGGGAAATAATGCAGAAGACCCTATATCAACCAACAGGTAGGCTCAGTGGCATAGGCCTGTCATCCCAAGCTACAGAAAGCTAAGATTGAGAAGATCGCAGTTCCAGGCCAGACTGAGCAAAAAAGTTTTCAAGATCCCATCTCAATGGAAAAAAGCTGAGTGTCATCCCAGCTATAGTGAAAAGCATAAAATAAGAACACTGTAATCCAGGCCAGCCTGGGCAAAAAGTGAGACCCTAACTTCAAAATAATCAGAGCAAAAAGGGTTGGAGGCAAGGCTCAAATGGTAGTGTGCTGGCCTAGTAAACACAAGCCCCTGAGTTAACAGATGACTGATAGATAGATAGATATAGATGTATACATATTACTCACACTTTTATATATATATATATATAAGTATATACACACATATATTATATGCATGTTTTACATATATATATATATATACACACATATGTGTGTACATATAAACATATAGATCAGTGTGTGTGTGTGTGTGTGTGTGTGTGTGTGTGTGTTTATATGCCTGTAATCCAAGCTACTGGGGAGGTAGAGATCACGAGGAAGGCAATTCGAGGCCACCCCAGGCAAAAAGTTAGCAAGACCTGCATCTCAACAAACAAGCTGGCTGTGGTGGTACAAGACTATAATACCAGCTATGCAGGTGGCATAGCTGAAGTGTGATCAGAAGCCACCTTGGGCAAAAAGTACAAGAACCTATTGGAAAAATAACTAAAGCATAAAGGGCTATAGGCATGGCTCATGTGGCACAGTACTTACCTATTAAGTATGAGGCCCTGAGTTCAAACACCAATACCACCAAAAAAATGAAAAAAAAGTTGTATATAGACACAATTGACTATTATTCAGCCTTAAAGAAGAATGAAATTATGTCATTTGCAGAAAAATGGATGGAACTGGAGGTCATCATGTTGAGTGAGATAAGCCAAACTCAGAAAGATAAATATCACATATTTGCCCATATATGGAATCTAGATATACTACTACTACTACTAATAATAATAATAATAAAATGATATGATTGCATTGGGGAAGAACAGCAGGAGAGGGAGGGAAGGAAAAGGGTGATGGGGGTGAATATGATTGAAGTATATTATATATAGATGGGAAAATAGTATAATGAAACCCACTAAGAAACAAAAATGGAGAGATGAAAGAGGGGCATTAAGAAAGAATAATTGCAGGAGGGGATTAGGGGTGAGAAATGGCCCAAACAATGTATGCATATATGAATAAATGAATTAAATAAAAAGAATAATTGCAAGAATGAATTTGATCAAAGTACATTATATGCATGTATAGAAATCTCACAATGAAACCCCTTTGCACAAAGTGCTTACACTAATTTTTTAAATTGCATATCTAGACCTTGTAAGTGTGTGGCCATATAGCCTCCTGACATGCAACAAAATAACTACTTTTCTCAACATCATTATAAAGCACTTCATCACCTGACTCTGATCTACCTTTCTATTAGACATCTTATTCTCCAACCAATCTCTGAACATACTGCTTTAACTTCTTCACACCTTTCTATGTCAGACCCTTAAAATATAAAACTCCCTCTTCCTCCTCCTTTTCTGCCTAATAAACTCTTAATTTATCTCTTTCTCTCTAAAGTGTTGACCATTTCTTGTTTTATCTTACCCCCTTCCCCATGTCCCCAGCCTCCAGCAAAATTAATCACTCCTACTATGTTCCCAAAAGTATCTTCCCATGCTTTATTTTCACACTTTGTATGCCCTGCACTGTATTATTTTGGTCTTCCCCACTAGACTATAC